TTAAGAACTTAAAATTTTTTTTTGCAACATTAAAGGATAAAGTATTACTTATTAGTAAATTATTTTAGACTATGAAGCTTGTACCTCCTTCAAGTACTGAAACCATTTTGACCATTTTAACAGTCTTTGAAGTCTATTTTACACAGTCTTCCTTTCAAACTTTTCCTTAACACAGAAAGCCATAATTGTGAACATCTATTAATTACTGTGCTAGGTTATAATGTGGCTCTCTTCCACTTTCCTAGTTTTGGTTTGTATAGACAAGGTTACTTGAAAAAGTTTGCAGAAAGATTTGTATTATCTTTTAATTCTGTTTTTCCACAAACTTTCTGAAGTACCCTCATACTCATATGGGTATAAAATACTCTTAAGCAGTGAACTGTTACTTAATCCAACAGGTATGCCCACTTCTGATAGTTCCATCGGACTTTTTTTAGTTTCTTTTCAAGTAATGTAGATATGAAACTGATAATCAAGATTGATAATCAAGATAATGTAAGTGTCCCCGAAGTTATTAGTGAGGCCCTAAGTAGTAAATGTGTATGTCACTAGTATCACTAGTGTTGGAAAGATGAATTCTTTTCCTTCAGATAACTGTGTACTGTTTATTTTCCTCCGAGTTGTTTGAGTTATTCATATAATATTATTTTTTTTAAAAAGATAGCAAACTCTAAATATTTTTATAAAATACTTAAAGAATGGTGCTTTTTACAATTTTATAAAGACAGTTTTAGTTAGAACTAAACTATTAAATTGATGGTTGACAGTTTCTAATGGATGACATGAACTCTGTTGTGCCTATTAGCTAGGGCACTTTAATATCAAGGCTGTACTAATTTATCTTTTTTGTAGAGTGATTAATTATATGGAGAGTCAAAGTGAAAGTTGTATGAAAACAATGCAGTGATGGTGTGTTTTGGAGGGGGTGGTAATAAAAAATTGCTGACTTATCTCTTGAAAAGATGAGTTTAATTTACTTCATCCACTTTTCCTGCAATAAAGTTGTTCCCATGAGTTCCTCTGTTTTCCACCGTTGATTTTTTTTTTTTTCAGAAAGTCACATGTCACCTGTAACGTGAAAGTCACATGTCACCTGTAAAAACCCAAGGCTTTTAGTTGCCTGTTAGATAAAACTCTTTTTTGAAAATATGGACATAGTGGCATATGAGTTTCAAAATGTAAAACTGAAACCTTAATAGGGTCTTTTTATGATAGCAATCAGACTGTTGCATATACAGGATATCCCCCTTTATCTAAGGGGGATATGTTCCAAGACCTTCTGTGGATGCCTGAAACCCTAGAAAGTAGTGAATCCCATATATAGTATGTTTTTTCCTGTACAGACATGCCCACAATAAAGTTTAATTTATAAATTAGGCACAGTAAGAGATTAACAACAATAACCAGTAATGAAATAGAACAATTATAACAAATGTAATGTAATAAAAGTTATACAGTTTGAGATACACAGCAAAACTAGCAGTTTTTCCTCCACAATTTCACCAATAGATTCGTTCTTACTGTAGATCTTAGCAACCTCTTAATGGAAGTACTTTATGGCTTCTCTTTGGTATATCCAAATTGCCAGCATCTCTTCTCTTGTGTTTTGGGGCCATTATTAAGTAAAATGAGGGTGACTTGAATACAAGCACATGTCAATATCATGACAGTGGATCTGATAACTGAGATGGCTACTAAGTGACTGAAGGGCGGGTAGCATCTACACCGTGGAGATGCTGGACAAAGGGATGATTCATAGGCAGTTAGCTCAGTTGGCTAGAGAGCAGTGTTGATAACACCAAGGTTGAGGGTTTGGATCCCCTTACCAGCTAGCCGCAAAAAAAAAAAAAGAAAGAAAGAAAGAAAAAAGAAGAAGGATGATTCATGTCCAGGACAGGATAGAGCAGGACAATGCAAGATGTCATCACATTACTCAGGACAGCACACAATTTAAAACTTATGAGTTGTTTATTTATGGAATTTTCCATTTTATATTTTCAGACCACTATTGACCACAGGTAACTGAAACCACAGAAAGCTAAACTGAAAAAAGAGGGGACAACTGTATACCATTAAGTATCACTCCATCTTCACATCAATGTTAAAATCATATTAATTAGACTGTGTCCTATAATCAAAGTGGAATTTTATCCTTCTGCTGGCAGTAATGTATGCAAGTATTCCTGTTCCTCTTGTTTTGACTCTAATTACACACACAGAACCCTCACATAGCCTTTTACTAGTTCTAGCTAGGAAGTTTTAGCCTGACCCTTTTTCATAAATCCAACTTCTTTGTTGTTTTAATGTTTTTTCTTCTTTTTTTTTTTTTCCCCCTTTTTGTCTTTTTTCTTTTTTCATAAATCCAACTTCTTTGTTGTTTTAATGTTTTTTCTTCTTTTTTTTTTTTTCCCCTTTTTGTCTTTTTTCTTGACTGGCAACAGATCGCAACCCTCAGTGTCGCGCCCGTACCGGACCGGGACCGGCTATGGGATCGCAACCCTCGGTTTTGCTCCCGCACCTCGCTCAGCCAGTGAGCGGCCGGTCTGTATGTGGGATCCGAACCCTCGGCAGGAGCACCTCTGCGCTTCCCAAGCGGCGCACTATAGCAGTGCGCCACTGGGCCGGCCCCAATGTTTTTTCTTCTGAATTCACTCATGTCTACAAATAGGAATAGTTATAGATACGAATGTAGATGTGTAGAGCTATTAGAGCTAAATTATCAAAGGTTTTTTAAAAATCGTGGAATTAGGGCCGACCCCGTGGCCGCGGGTTCGGATCCTATATAGGAATGGCCGGTGCTGCGGGCGACACCATACCAAGGGTTGCAATCCCCTTACCGGTCACGAAAAAGGCAAAAAAAAAAATCATGGAATTATTTTTCTAATGTCTAAACAGGCTGTTCTTTTAATAGTTAAGTATAATAAGGGGAAATACTGAGATTGGAAGAGCAAAAAATTGTTAGCATCCTTTATGTCTGATTATTCCTGCCATCTTTCTGAAAGATTCAGTAGACCAGTTTGTAATTGCAGACGTTTATCTTTGATACTTGTTTAAGAAATAGATATGTTTTCAGAAGTTATTTTGTAAGTAAGTTGTTTAGTATTGGAAACAGTGTTTAAAATGGTAGTTGCTTTCTGGTCTAGCTGATCAAGTATTTTAGCATGTAGTACTACTGAGTTAAAGTACTAAAGGTAGATTTGGTTCCAAGTTTCAGGTCCTGGATAAAAGGAGTCATGTGGTACTTCTGAGGGATAAAGAAGAGAAAATATCGTTTTCTTCAATTGGAGAAAGAAAGCCGGTTCTGGGCAGGTTGTCTTCAACCACATTCAAGCTTCTTTCTGGAAAGACACTAGCATGATGCTCAATCCTTAAGAGTAGATGTGTTTAACTTGAGTTGGCTTGAAGAAGACTGTTTGATAATGGAAGGTCCAGAGGACCAGCAAATGCTTTCTACTAGGGAGTCAAAGGGGGTACGGTCAGAGAACCAAGGGGATTGGAGACAGCAGAAAGGTAGCAGGGTGTGGCAAGTTACTTGAAGCAATAGAACAAGTGAGGAGGAGAAAACCTTCCTCTTGGAGACATGTGAGATAAGCAGTAGAAGCCTCACAAGGCCTGAATCATATACTCAGGTATCAAGTTCATTCATGCAAAAAGATGAGGCAACTGACAGGAGGCAGTTACATTGAAGATAGATTCAATGACACAAGATTGCCAGTATTAGCCCTTTTAACAGAAAACTGAATCCTCTCGATCTCTTCAAGTCTCAGAGGAGCTTTATCTTAGTTAACCAACTACTTCTTTTGCTGTAATAAATTCTGAGTTTCTTCAGTATGAAAGATTTTAGCTAAGTATTAGGTGATAGCTCGAGTGCAGGAGACATGAGAGTGCAAGAGATATGTGTACTTTTTTTTTTAAAGGTAGTTGGTAACAGACATATAGAATTCTAGGCAGTGTAGCAAAGTGAAGTGAAAATTTTTCTTTCTTACTTTACCACTCTTCAGCTGTTATCCTCGTTTTGATCCTTTTCCGACCCTAAGCAAATGTTCATTGAAATAGATTGTGGTGTTCTCTTGTGTAAAGTAAACACTGTTAGATGTCTGGAATGTCTGTTAGTACCAAAACTATTAAAGGACCAATTCCTCTTCAGAATGAATAGAATTTTTCCATTAAAGTTAAATCTTATTCTTTTCACCAAATATACTGTGGTATATTTTGTATGGGAATCACCATTTTGGATTACACCTTTTCTCCCTAGGTTATGTACTAGAGATCAAAAAATAATCAATTGGTATGTTTAATAAGCTACTTCATAATTTTATATTTCAGAATTTTGAGTGTCTGGTGTTCAAACTTCAAGTTCGTTATAGAATAAACTGCTCAGGAGATGCATTTATTTTACATTCATCATATATCAAGCTTCATATAGCCATTGTTTTAAGTGGGAATACACAATCCAATAGGCTGTCTATCTCAAGTCTAGTTACAGAATATACTCCAAAACTGAAGGCAATGAGGATTTAATTCAAAATGGCACCCTAATGTCCCCTTATTACCTTGAAATCTTTTCATTTGACCTTCTTCTATTATTTAATTCCATTACATACCAGTAATTGCATTTATTGAAGCCAGTGTTGCTCGTTATAGTAAATGCTGATCTTAGTAAATCTCAAATATAGAAAGAGAAATGTTCTTTAATAAATAATTGAAAGACTTCTTACTGTTTTTCACAATTTAGTTCTAGTCCTATTGGTCTTTTATGTTTAGAGTATTTTATAAAGGGTAACTAAGTTATGGCATCTAAAAAGTCATATCTTTAAGGAATCTCACACAGTATGCTACATAATAGCTTATTGTAAGTAGGTTAAATTGACTGGCTTTATCTCAAGTGGCTTACAGTATTAAAGAAGGGTTTAACATATCCAGCTTTACTGCTGAAACACCAAATGAGTTCTGACACCTATGATGAGATGATTAAAGTTGGGAATTTTTTCTCTTGACAGCATCAACAAAGAGAGTATCGTAGATGTAGAAGGTATTGTGAGAAAAGTGAATCAGAAAATTGGAAGCTGTACACAGCAAGATGTTGAGTTACATGTTCACAAGGTAACTTTTTTCAAAATATAAAATTATGTATAGATATAGATTTGAATAGTTCTTACAACTTTTCATGTTAAGTCTATATGTTCTTAATTAGTTGATATAAAATACTGAGATGTATAAGTTGATTACTGAATCAATTAACTTTTGTTATATAACTAATCACCCCAATACTTAGTGGCTTAAAACAACAAACATTAATTTGCTCACGGTTAAGGAGTAGTTAGAGTGGGCTCATCTGGGATGGCTCATCAGTTAAGGCAATACTGGGCTTGCAGATATATCTGGGGCATCTCTTCCTGTGGCCTTTCCTCAACCAGTAGGCTAGCCTAGACATGTTGATGTGGTACCAGGAGGGTTCCCAGGGGTGAGAGAGGGAAGCGCTAGTGTGCAAGCACTTTTCAAGCTTGTGCTTGTGTCACGTTTGCTAAATATCCCTTTGGTCAAAGTCACATGGCAAAACTCAGAATCAAGGAGTGGAGAAATAGATTCCAGCTCTTAATGGGAGGAGAAGGAACACTGTTGCAAAGAAGCATAAGTATAGGAACAGGAAGAATGATCGAAACCATTTTTGCCAACAGTCTACCACAATCATATAGGGAAAAGTAGAAAACACATCTTTTT